GTGTTAGGATAATATCAGAAATTTTTGAAATGACCAAATCTTGGGTCTTGGTTATAAAAAACCCATTTAGATTGTCGACCCTAAGTTTGGTTAACGGCTTGCTGAACACTGAAGCTCTCGCTTCACACGTTGAGGGTCTGGGTTTGATTCCCGGCCATGTAGAAACATTGGGCGTGTTTCTTTACACTAGTTGTCTATGTTCCCCATCAGTAAAATGGGTACTTGGGTGTTAGTCGACTGGTGTGGGTCGCATCCTGGAACAAAACTGACCTAATTTGCGAAATGCTCTGCATAACAAGCGGCTTTCTATTTTTTAGTATGTCATTGATGTGAGCTAGGCCTGTATACCTTGTACACGTACTTGTAGAAATAAAGACATTATTATATTATTGGGACTTTAGTATCTCACTTATTTCATTGCTGTCATCTGTGTAGGTTCCATTTCATCATAGCAGGGGTCCAGTACTGGATGTTGTTTTCTCCTTAGATCTGGCATAAGAGAAGAAGTATTTTGGGTTTCTTTCAGTTTCCTTTTTGGCTTGAAGTTCTTCCTGAAATTCTTGTCTCCTGTAGGATTCCTTAAGCTTAAGTTCGATATTTGCTATTCTCTGACCAGTGCCTTCCTTCGTATTTCAGAGAAACTGGCTCCTCTCAGCAGCTCTGTGATTCTTCGCCTTCCTCTGCATAGAGAGCGTCTCTTTCTAGTTTGCATCTTCTCTTTCTTTTTCTTAAAAGAATGTGGCTTGAGTACATTTCAAGTGCCAAAGAGTTAATTTTTTCTAGGCAAAGGTTTGGATACGTGTTGTTAAGGCTAACTTCCCAGCTTGTTTCATTTAGGACATGGTTGACTTGTTCCCATTGTGTTTTTGTTACTGAAGATGAATGTTGTGAAGACACCCTCATAACTTATCACATGTTGCTGGTCAGGGACCCTGTGTATACATATCTGTACCTCTGTTATGTTGTGATCTGAGTGTATTATATTTGATACGGTTATATTACGTATCAGATCGTAGTTGTTAGTGAGAATGAGGTCCCGAATATTTTATAATCTTGCAGGCTCTAATATTTGCTGGTTTAAGGTGAATTTGGTGCAGAGATTTAATAGTTCATGTGTGTGTGAATTTTCATCTGAGCTGCCTCTTGGGGTGATCTCTGTTAAAACATTATTTGCTACACTCTTCCATTTTAGGTGTCTCATGTTGAAATCCCCCAGTAGCAGGATGTTTGGGGCAGGAGTTAGGAGATTTTCCATACAGTGGTCAATTTTCAAAAGCTGTTCCTGGAATTGCTGGGAAGTTACATCTAGAGGCTTGTATACAACCACAATGACAAGGTTTTGGTTTTCAATCTTTACCACCAAAACTTGAACTACATCATGCGAGGTGTTTAGTAGTTTTGAGCAAATCAACAACTCTGTGATGTACAAGCCAACCCTTCCTTATTGCCTGTTTAGTCTGTCGCATCTGAATAGGTTAACTTGGGATCCATATTTCGTTCTCAAAATGATCCTTTATTTTGAGTCTCTATGGAAAATTTTATAGGGGGTTACCTGTGTGTACCTCGACATTATATGCAAACAAATAAACTCACTGGGAGACAACAACCATATTGTTTACCGTAGTCACCCCGTGTAGACGTGTGAGAAAACTTAACGACCCCTGGTCCCTGCAGGTGGTTCCTTCGACAAGATAAGATAAGATAAGATTTCGTTCGGATTTTTAACTCCGGAGGGTTAGCCACCCAGGATAACCCAAGAAAGTCAGTGCGTCATCGAGGACTGTCTAACTTATTTCCATTGGGGTCCTTAATCTTGTCCCCCAGGATGCGACCCACACCAGTCGACTAACACCCAGGTACCTATTTGCTGCTAGGTGAACAGGACAATAGGTGTAAGGAAACGTCGGAATTTCCACCCGCCGGGAATCGAACCCGGACATCACAATCTTATCCATATCTATCCGAGACCAGTATGAATTGGATAGCACCCACAAGTACGGCGCTACTAATTAATTGTGGACTGGATAGATTATATTAGTTTAAATGAATGAAGGGGGGGGGGGTAGGTTACACATGGATATATCCATCAAGGAAAACACTTGTACATAATCCCACCACTTACCAGACATTCTCTGGTGGTCACTTGATGTAGCTGGATCACCCATAACCTATCCAGTTACAACATACCTAACTGGCCAGTATCAGTCTGCTATAACTAGAAGGGTTACTAAACTGTGGGTGATTGATACTCCTTATTTCCTCCATTCACCATCTCATTTCGATGTCCTGCTACACCGACACGGTTCTTATTCCAGCAGGACGAGGTATCCGTTGGTTTGTCCCGGTTTAGAAGTCGTGACTCCATAAAAACTTTACTATCCTCGGAACAGGAACAACGAGGTAAACATGTGTTCACTTGGAGAACAGCGACTTACTTCACTTCACGCATTCTCTTAACTTAGTGTTATTATCACTGATTACATTACAATTCACACGACGATTTAATGTCTCATAATTATTATGCACATTAGAGGTCACTCCATTAAGATCTGAGACCGATGAGTGACGATTAAGTCACGGGTATTTTCTCCTGGACACACTCCATGGCATCGTACCAGTCACCACCGGTCCTACCATTATTCACTAATTTTACCACTTTATTACGGTGGTCCCGTAAATCACGTTCCCTCACTCTTCACCAGGAACTGTGGAAAATACTTGAATATATTTTCCGGAAATACGGTAATTTATAGGTAAACAGATGGCCTACATTGTATTTAATAAAATTTATGTTATGGAAAATGGGAAACTGAGCTGCGCCTGCGCAGAAGACACTCACCATTGCTGTTTGAACTGGTCAACAGAAAGTTAGTGAAATCGGAAGAATTTTCGTGCTCTAGAGGTTAAAATTGGGCTGACACCTCTCAAATAGGAGCTGAAATTGTTTTAGATTTTGCCACCGAAGTGGCTAGTTTATTGTGCACCCCATATCCATCCTGTGGACGGTAGCGCGAGAGCATATGGATACACAAAAGGCCTAGGAACTAGGCCCCAAAGGGTTAACAGGAATATATATGGATTTATATCTACATATCTATAGTTCACTTATCTGTTACAAGCAAATTTAGGAAATTTGCTTAGTATATCTGGTATTTTATTTTCATTAATAAGATATCTTGACATGTCACATAGGTTATTATACTGTCTGTCTCTGTATTCCTCAATGAGTGGACAATTAAGCACATAGTGTTCAAGAGAGTGACCATATGCCTGATCACATAATTTACATTTAGTTTGATCATCATCTGTGTGTCTCCCAAACTGCCAGAAGTACTTGTAACCAAGCCTAAGCCTGGCCACTACAACATCAGTCAGTCTGTTCACATTGCAAGTTGCTCCATAAACATACTTATCTACGTTCATGTTATCATAGTGGGTTATAGATCTACTCAGGCTTCTAACTGCATTCCTATAACAATCATTTTCATTATTTACTTCTCTCCTAATATTATTCCTAATGCTAGACACAGTTATACCAAAGTTATATTCTACTCCTGCATAATTTGAGTATCAGACGACAGGACAGGACAACTCCAGGAACCTCAGATAAGCTGTCTAATTTCTGTTTAAATTCTGGCCAGTAAATTTTTCACAAATGTAGGCAAAAAGGGGGGGTCCTGTACATGACACATTAATCTCCAGTCAAATTGGTGAGTGATATTAAGATATTCACTTTCTGTTATGTAATTGTGTATATCTATAATCACTTTTTAATTTTAATATACAGTCCACAAATTTATATATTTACCAGCATTCCTGGTGATGTATATTTCATTAGTAATTAATAGGTCCAGAATCGACACCATGCCCAGCCCTTCTAGGGCAGGGTAGGTGCCTGAGCCCGAGCCTTTAGCTCATAAGACTGTCATTCCCATTAGCCCCCTTGGGGTGGGGATGGCAGACCAGAGAGGTCTAGCTTGTGGCTAGGCCTGGGGACAGTTGGTCCCAAAGATGAGGAGGTACTTGTGCCTCCTCCCATGGGAGACTTAGGTCTCAGACACTCCCTAAAGAGGGAGCCAAGGCCGGGCCACCACTTGGAAAAGGCCCGGGCCGGGAGAATACCGGCGAATCTTTAATAATAATAATAATAGGTCCAGAGCAACTTGTGGATATGACAGTGGTAGGTATCGAAGGGGGACATTTTTGCGACCTAGGTGTCCCAAATTCCTACTTGTCTAACTGATAAATAATAATTATCTTTCTTCATTTACTGTTATGTACATAATGATACATTCAGATAAATGCAATTTTCCACAGGAACAGTTACTACACTTCCTATTATGAAGCGAGACCTATATTAATCCTTAGGCCACCGTGAACGCCAATTTCCTGGTCCCATGCTTTCCCAGCCTCTGAACTCCATTCAAAACACTCCCGCTCCTCTGACGCCCCGTCTCGACCTCTCCCCTGCCCATCAGCGCAGGCGCAGAACTTCCCTGTTGGTTCTAGTCCATTTCCAAATACATTTTTTTGACCCATATCAACACATTAAATACCTATTAGGCACTATAGCTTTGGAAAATTAAAATATTTTCCACAGTCTCTGTGAATACTGCAAACATTGCATTCGACTTTGTGAGCAGTCCCTTAATGTAAGATATTTTGTTATTTGTTGACGGTTTTAGACCCTGTATGTTTGCAATGATAAATGTCAATCACTTTGCTAAACTCACAAACTAGTATTTAGTCACTTAGCCATAATACCAACTTACCTCATAATTTGTAATATTTTAAGTTTAAGAATTAATCTAAGTCTGCCCGAAATGCCTAGCCATGCTAGGTGCTCTAGTGGTACCCTCTAATTATTATTTTACTACATGTAAACCACACAATAACCAAATTCTGTAAACTCAGTATTGTAATCCTTATAGAGAATAAACTTTGAAGTTGAAGTTGAAGTTGATGGAATTTAGGGGGGGAGGGTTGTTTGCTGGCATTAATATCTGGTGTTGTGGAGTGGAGGCCAATAACTGTGCCTCTGCTCCAGAATTGTTTTTAATATTGGTGTAGGATTTCTATCATGTCTTGCCAGTCTACGGTGTATGTTGTCAGTGGCCCTATAAACCCCAACAATAACATCAACATTAATTATATAAGTGATTATTTAACTACTGATAACCAGACAGCCACTGAAGGTTTAAGTGCCAGTTGATCCAGCAATATGTCAGCAAGTTTCGGTCTTAAAGAAGTTAGTGCAGCATACAGCAGGATGAGAGGGTATGTTCACAGGACGCCAGTCTTCACCTCTCACAATATTAATGTGTTGGCTGGCACACAACTCTACATGAAAGCTGAAAACCTTCAGAAGACTGGATCATTCAAAGCCAGAGGCGCCTGTAATGCGGTCAGTCAACAAATTGATAAATATAATTGGTTGCCCAGGCGCGGGGGCGCGGGCGCGGGCGCGGGGGCAGGGGGGGCACTCATGTAAATACTTTTTTGTCAATTAATGGTCAGTTATTAAGTAAGTTTATTTAGGTGCAGGTAAATATACATATAATTATCATGCACAGTATATTGACCAGTGACCACGAAAGCAAAATAATTTTAGAAATTTCCCACGTACTGCAGATTGAAATCCTGGCTTATGCTTACCCAGATTGAAATCCTGGCTTATGCTTACCCAGATTGAAATCCTGGCTTATGCTTACCCAGATTGAAATCCTGGCTTATGCTTACCCAGATTGAAATCCTGGCTTATGCTTACCCAGATTGAAATCCTGGCTTATGCTTACCCAGATTGAAATCCTGACTTATGCTTACCCAGATTGAAATCCTGGCTTATGCTTACCCAGATTGAAATCCTGACTTATGCTTACCCAGATTGAAATCCTGGCTTATGCTTACCCAGATTGAAATCCTGGCTTATGTTTACCCAGATTGAAATCCTGGCTTATGCTTAACCTGATTGAAATCCTGGCTTATTACCTGGAGACCTGGAGTTTACCTGGAGAGAGTTCCGGGGGTCAACGCCCCCGCGGTCCAGTCTGAGACCAGGCCTCCTGGTGGATCAGAGCCTGATCAACCAGGCTGTTGCTGCTGGCTGCACGCAAACCAACGTACGAGCCACAGCCTGGCTGATCCGGAACTGACTTTAGGTGCTTGTCCAGTGCCAGCTTGAAGACTGCCAGGGGTCTGTTGGTAATCCCCCTTATGTGTGCTGGGAGGCAGTTGAACAGTCTCGGGCCCCTGACACTTATTGTATGGTCTCTTAACGTGCTAGTGACACGTTATGCTTAACCTGATTGAAATCCTGGCTTATGCTTACCTAGATTGAAATCCTGGCTTATGTTTACCCAGATTGAAATCCTGGCTTATGTTTACCCAGATTGAAATCCTGGCTTATGCTTACCAGATTGAAATCCTGACTTATGCTTACCCAGATTGAAATCCTGACTTATGCTTACCCAGATTGAAATCCTGGCTTATGCTTACCCAGATTGAAATCCTGGCTTATGCTTACCCAGATTGAAATCCTGGCTTATGCTTACCCAGATTGAAATCCTGGCTTATGCTTACCCAGATTGAAATCCTGGCTTATGCTTACCCAGATTGAAATCCTGGCTTATGCTTACCCAGATTGAAATCCTGGCTTATGTTTACCCAGATTGAATTCCTTACTTATGCTTACCCAGATTGAAATCCTGGCTTATGCTTACCCAGATTAAAAATCCTGACTTATACTTACCCAGATTGAAATTCTGACTTATGCTTACCAGATTGAAATCCTGGCTTATGCTTACCCAGATTGAAACCCTGGCTTATGCTTACCCAGATTGAAATCCGGGCTTATGCTTACCCAGATTGAAATCCTGGCTTATGCTTACCCAGATTGAAATCCTGGCTTATGCTTACCCAGATTGAAATCCTGGCTTATGCTTACCCAGATTGAAATCCTGGCTTATGTTTACCCAGATTGAATTCCTTACTTATGCTTACCCAGATTGAAATCCTGGCTTATGCTTACCCAGATTAAATCCTGACTTATACTTACCCAGATTGAAATTCTGACTTATGCTTACCCAGATTGAAATCCTGGCTTATGCTTACCCAGATTGAAATCCTGGCTTTATGCTTACCCAATTGAAATCCTGACTTACGCTTACCCAATTGAAATCCTGGCTTATGCTTACCCAGATTGAAATCCTGGCTTATGCTTACCCAGATTGAAATTCTGGCTTATGCTTACCCAGATTGAAATCCTGGCTTATTCTTACCCAGATTGAAATCCTGGCTTATGCTTACCCAGATTGAAATCCTGGCTTATGTTTACCCAGATTGAATTCCTTACTTATGCTTACCCAGATTGAAATCCTGGCTTATGCTTACCCAGATTGAAATCCTGACTTATGCTTACCCAGATTGAAATCCTGACTTATGCTTACCCAGATTGAAATCCTGGCTTATGCTTACCCAGATTGAAATCCTGGCTTATGCTTACCCAGATAGAAATCCTGACTTACGCTTACCCAGATTGAAATCCTGGCTTATGCTTACCCAAAATGAAATCCTAGCTTATGCTTACCCAGATTGAAATCCTGGCTAATGCTTACCCAGATTGAAATCCTGGCTTATGCTTACCGAGATTGAAATCCTGACTTATGCTTACCCAGATTGAAATCCTGCTTATGCTTACCCAGATTGAAATCCTGGCTTATGCTTACCCAGATTGAAAATCCTGGCTTATGCTTACCCAGATTGAAATCCTGGCTTATGCTTACCCTGATTGAAATCCTGGCTTATGCTTACCTAGATTGAAATCCTGGCTTATGTTTACCCAGATTGAATTCCTTACTTATGCTTACTCTGATTGAAATCCTGGCTTATGCTTACCCAGATTGAAATCCTGACTTATGCTTACCCAGATTGAAATCCTGGCTTATGCTTACCCAGATTGAAATCCTGGCTTATGCTTACCCAGATTGAAATCCTGGCTTATGCTTACCCAGATTGAAATCCTGGCTTACACTTACCCAGATTGAAATCCTGGCTTATGCTTACCCAGATTGAAATCCTGACTTACGCTTACCCAGATTGAAATCCTGGCTTATGCTTACCTAGATTGAAATCCTGGTTTATGTTTACCCAGATTGAATTCCTTACTTATGCTTACCCTGATTGAAATCCTGGCTTATGCTTACCCAGATTGAAATCCTGGCTTATGCTTACCCAGATTGAAATCCTGACTTATGCTTACCCAGATTGAAATCCTGACTTATGCTTACCCAGATTGAAATCCTGGCTTATGCTTACCCAGATTGAAATCCTGGCTTATGCTTACCCAGATTGAAATCCTGGCTTATGCTTACCCATATTGAAATCCTGGCTTATGCTTACCCATATTGAAATCCTGACTTACACTTACCCAGATTGAAATCCTGGCTTATGCTTACCCATATTGAAATCCTGGCTTATGCTTACCCAGATTGAAATCCTGGCTTATGCTTACCCAGATTGAAATCCTGGCTTATGCTTACCCAGATTGAAATCCTGGCTTATGCTTACCTAGATTGAAAATCCTGGCTTATGCTTACCCAGATTGAATCCTGGCTTATGCTTACCCAGATTGAAATCCTGGCTTATGCTTACCCAGATTGAAATCCTGGCTTATGCTTACCCAGATTGAAATCCTGGCTTATGCTTACCTAGATTGAAATCCTGGCTTATGCTTACCCAGATTGAAATCCTGGCTTATGCTTACCCAGATTGAAATCCTGGCTTATGCTTACCCAGATTGAAATCCTGGCTTATGCTTCCCCCAGACTGAAATCCTGGCTTATGCTTACCCAGATTGAAATCCTGGCTTATGCTTACCCAGATTGAAATCCTGACTTATGCTTACCCAGATTGAAATCCTGGCTTATGCTTACCCAGATTGAAATCCTGGCTTATGCTTACCCAGATTGAAATCCTGACTTACGCTTACCCAGATTGAAAGCCTGGCTTATGCTTACCCAGATTGAAATCCTGGCTTATGCTTACCCAGATCGAAATCCTGGCTTATGCTTACCCAGATTGAAATCCTGGTTTATGCTTACCCAGATTGAAATCCTGGCTTATGCTTACCCAGATTGAAATCCTGGCTTATGCTTACCCAGATTGAAATCCTGGCTTATGTTTACCCAGATTGAATTCCTTACTTATGCTTACCCAGATTGAAATCCTGACTTATGCTTACCCAGACTGAAATCCTGGCTTGTGCTTACCCAGATTGAAATCCTGACTTATGCTTACCCAGATTGAAATCCTGACTTATGCTTACCTAGGTTGAAATCCTGGCTTATGCTTACCCAGATTGAAATCCTGGCTTATGCTTACCCAGATTGAAATCCTGGCTTATGCTTACCCCGATTGAAATCCTGGCTTATGCTTACCCAGACTGAAATCCTGGCTTATGCTTACCCAGATAGAAATCCTGGCTGATGCTTACCCAGATTGAAATCCTGGCTTATGCTTACCCAGATTGAAATCCTGGCTTATGCTTACCCAGATTGAAATCCTGACTTAGGCTTACCCAGATTGAAAGCCTGGCTTATGCTTACCCAGATTGAAATCCTGGCTTATGCTTACCCAGATTGAAATCCTGGCTTATGTTTACCCAGATTGAAATCCTGGCTTATGCTTAACCTGATTGAAATCCTGGCTTATGCTTAACCTGATTGATATCCTGGCTTATGCTTACCTAGATTGAAATCCTGGCTTATGCTTACCCAGATTGAAATCCTGGCTTATGCTTACCCAGATTGAAATCCTGGCTTATGCTTACCCAGATTGAAATCCTGGCTTATGCTTACCCAGATTGAAATCCTGGCTTACACTTACCCAGATTGAAATCCTGGCTTATGCTTACCCAGATTGAAATCCTGACTTACGCTTACCCAGATTGAAATCCTGGCTTATGCTTACCTAGATTGAAATCCTGGTTTATGTTTACCCAGATTGAATTCCTTACTTATGCTTACCCTGATTGAAATCCTGGCTTATGCTTACCCAGATTGAAATCCTGGCTTATGCTTACCCAGATTGAAATCCTGACTTATGCTTACCCAGATTGAAATCCTGACTTATGCTTACCCAGATTGAAATCCTGGCTTATGCTTACCCAGATTGAAATCCTGGCTTATGCTTACCCAGATTGAAATCCTGGCTTATGCTTACCCATATTGAAATCCTGGCTTATGCTTACCCATATTGAAATCCTGACTTACACTTACCCAGATTGAAATCCTGGCTTATGCTTACCCATATTGAAATCCTGGCTTATGCTTACCAGATTGAAATCCTGGCTTATGCTTACCCAGATTGAAATCCTGGCTTATGCTTACCCAGATTGAAATCCTGGCTTATGCTTACCTAGATTGAAATCCTGGCTTATGCTTACCCAGATTGAAATCCTGGCTTATGCTTACCCAGATTGAAATCCTGGCTTATGCTTACCCAGATTGAAATCCTGGCTTATGCTTACCCAGATTGAAATCCTGGCTTATGCTTACCTAGATTGAAATCCTGGCTTATGCTTACCCAGATTGAAATCCTGGCTTATGCTTACCCAGATTGAAATCCTGGCTTATGCTTACCCAGATTGAAATCCTGGCTTATGCTTACCCAGACTGAAATCCTGGCTTATGCTTACCCAGATTGAAATCCTGGCTTATGCTTACCCAGATTGAAATCCTGACTTATGCTTACCCAGATTGAAATCCTGGCTTATGCTTACCCAGATTGAAATCCTGGCTTATGCTTACCCAGTTTAAAAATCCTGACTTACGCTTACCCAGATTGAAAGCCTGGCTTATGCTTACCCAGATTGAAATCCTGGCTTATGCTTACCCAGATCGAAATCCTGGCTTATGCTTACCCAGATTGAAATCCTGGTTTATGCTTACCCATATTGAAATCCTGGCTTAATGCTTACCCAGATTGAAATCCTGGCTTATGCTTACCCAGATTGAAATCCTGGCTTATGTTTACCCAGATTGAATTCCTTACTTATGCTTACCCAGATTGAAATCCTGACTTATGCTTACCCAGACTGAAATCCTGGCTTGTGCTTACCCAGATTGAAATCCTGACTTATGCTTACCCAGATTGAAATCCTGACTTATGCTTACCTAGGTTGAAATCCTGGCTTATGCTTACCCAGATTGAAATCCTGGCTTATGCTTACCCAGATTGAAATCCTGGCTTATGCTTACCCCGATTGAAATCCTGGCTTATGCTTACCCAGACTGAAATCCTGGCTTATGCTTACCCAGATAGAAATCCTGGCTGATGCTTACCCAGATTGAAATCCTGGCTTATGCTTACCCAGATTGAAATCCTGGCTTATGCTTACCCAGATTGAAATCCTGACTTAGGCTTACCCAGATTGAAAGCCTGGCTTATGCTTACCCAGATTGAAATCCTTCCTTATGCTTACCCAGATTGAAATCCTGGCTTATGCTTACCCAGATTGAAATCCTGGCTTATGTTTACCCAGATTGAAATCCTGGCTTATGCTTAACCTGATTGAAATCCTGGCTTATGCTTAACCTGATTGATATCCTGGCTTATGCTTACCTAGATTGAAATCCTGGCTTATGCTTACCCAGATTGAAATCCTGGCTTATGCTTACCCAGATTGAAATCCTGGCTTATGTTTACCCAGATTGAAATCCTGACTTAGGCTAACCCAGATTGAAATCCTGGCTTATGCTTACCCAGATTGAAATCCTGGCTTATGCTTACCCAGATTGAAATCCTGGCTTATGCTTACTCAGATTGAAATCCTGGCTTATGCCTATGTTGTGATAGAAACACAGGCCTTATCTCTAGGCTTTATTGAACATAGAATCTTCATAGTACTTCTGCAACAACAAAATATAATGACTAGTACATCTAATAATGGCTTCTACAGGGATGGTGATGTCTTGCATATGTCAAGAGAAAAGTTATAACTACAGGCCACATATTTAAACTCACCATGTAATCTGCATCACTGATAAATGGATATAGTAGGAGAGAATCACACACCATGGGTTGGCACCCATGACACACACCAAACTGTTGTTGTTGTTAAGGGCCCCAAGAGGTGGTGCAGTTATATCCTGCTGCTGCTCCCCACAGGACCAGTATCACTACAATCTCCCCCTTCTAAAATATCAGAGACAGTAATCTCCCAAACTGTTAGGTGTGCGACGTACACGTCCCGACCTTCGTAGCCCTTGAGCCTCTTCACCAGGTTCGATATTTTCCAGCGGGGTTTGATTAACTGCTGGAGCAGAATCCTTTATTTCCATAGGGGTAGTCTCAAGGGGCTTTCCAGGAGAAAACGAAGCATCTTTCACATCTATTGGTGTATCTTGAGATTCCACACTAATAGGGATTTCAACTGGGGCTAAATGTCTTGTAGATACTGTAGTCCTCTTCACCATTTTGGTAGCGAATGTGGGCGTAATGTGGATTAGCTTGCAGGAGCTCTACCTCTTCCACTAAAGGATCCGTCTTGTTCATCCTACGGTGACTCTTCAGGAGAACGGGTCCAGGATGACATAACCAAGTGGGCACGGAGGCTCCCGTAGAGGAACGACGTGAATAGTTGAGGAGTCTTTCATGAGGGGTTGCATTAGTAGCTGTGCACAGCAGTGATCTAATAGAGTGAAGAGCATCAGGTAGGACAGTTTGCCAGTGTTGAATAGGTAGATTGCGCGACTTCAATGTCCGTTTAACTAAGTCAAGGTTGATGAAACTCTCTGAGCTGCCACTATCAATAAGACCATCTACTTCTGTTCCTTTGATGAATACTTTCACAACTGCCTTTGACAGTGAATTTGGAGTAGCCGCAGAAGTCACTGTTGCTAGAGTCGCATGATCACTGGAATGTGTGGAGGCACTAGCTCTTGTTGATGCATTAGCACGACATACTTTAGCAAAGTGACCTTTCTTGTGGCATTTATGGCACATTGCTTCACGAGCAGGACACTTTGGATGTGGATGTCTTGAAAAACCACAAAAGAAACACACCGTACCTGCTGCTGCTGTCACTGAGGCAGGTTCCACAGTAACTTCATTGCAAGAGTCTTGGTCAGGAATTGCAGCACTTACCACTCGAGAAGGCTGAGTGGTACTGTATACTCAGAATTCTTCTGGGCTGAATCTAGAGCTCTTGCCTGGTCAAAGGCAGCGGCTAAGTCGAGAGTTTTATTCTCCAATAAACGCTGCCTTATTATTGATGATTGCAGGCCACTGATAAAAGCATCCCTGATGGACTCTTCACAATACTGAGCAGCTGTCACTGCTTGGAAGTGACAGTCCCTTACCTAAAATTTTCAGTGCTTGAAAGTATTCCTCTAAGGATTCATCAATCTGCTGGCGGCGAGTTGCAAGGCGATAGCGTGCAAAGATTTCATTTGTAGGTTTAATATACTGAGACTTGAGGGTTTTGATAGCATCTTCGTAGGTATTACAACTCAGAAATAGCCTCATATATCTTAGGTGACACAAAATTGATGAGCAGACTTAGTTTATCTAGATCTTCTTTAGGAAGGGCTCCCAAGAAGTTTTCGAAAGTCTTAAACCAGTGCTTCCATTCCTGAGCAGCCGTTGATAAGCTGTGTCACAGTCTAGCCTCTCAGGTTTCAGTAAACGCTCCATGTTGTGATGTAGTCTAGCGCAGGATCACCACCAGGTAGCCCAGGATTCCATGTTCAATAAATTGTTGTGATAGAAACACAGGCCTTATCTCTAGGCTTTATTGAACATAGAATCTTCATAGTACTTCTGCAACAACAAAATATAATGACTAGTACATCTAATAATGGCTTCTACAGGGATGGTGATGTCTTGCATATGTCAAGAGAAAAGTTATAACTACAGGCCACATATTTAAACTCACCATGTAATCTGCATCACTGATAAATGGATATAGTAGGAGAGAATCACACACCATGTGTTGGCGCCCATGACACACACAAAACTATTGTTGTTGTTAAGGGCCCCAAGAGGTGGTGCAGTATTATCCTGCTGCTGCTCCCCACAGGACCAGTATCATTACAGCCTACCCTGATTGAAATCCTGGCTTATGCTTACCCAGATTGAAATCCTGGCTTATGCTTACCCAGATTGAAATCCTGGCTTATGCTTACCCAGATTGAAATCCTGGCTTATGCTTACCCAGATTGAAATCCTGGCTTATGCTTACCCAGATTGAAATCCTGGCTTATGCTTACCCAGATTGAAGTCCTGGCTTATGCTTACCCAGATTGAAATCCTGACTTATGCTTACCCAGATTGAAATCCTGGCTTATGCTTACCCAGATTGAAATCCTGGCTTATGCTTACCCAGATTGAAATCCTGTCTTATGCCTACCCAGATTGAAATTCTGCCTCATTTTCTCTCTTGACTGAAATCCAGGTTTATGCTCCCCCCTGATTGAAATCCTAGCTTATGTCTTCCCCTAGTAAGTTTATTCAGGTGCAGGTACACATAAATACAGTTCGACAAATTATCATATGTAGTAACAAATTTGTAAATTACAAAGGATAACCCAAAAAATCAGACAAGTGACTTATTTTCATTGGGGTCCTTGAAATCCAGATTGAAATCCTGGTTTAAATTTTTCCCTTTAGAGAGAATTCTTTCCTTTGGTATTTACTAGAGCATAGATAGTTACATTACATTTATTTTAGCCTCATTGTATGTTATGAATAGTTGAATTAAGTAATCATGAACATTTTCAGGTATTTCTGGAGAAAGAGAGAAATCCCAACAGCCCTGGAGTGGTAACACACAGCACTGGGAACCATGGCCAGGCTGTAGCATATGCTGCCAGTAAGTTTACATTTTACCCCCATGCTTATAGCAGTTGGTACAGTTATGGATTGCTGAAGTTTTCATTCATTTTTAATGCCACTGTTATTAACCTTGAGATAGTAAGTTTATATACAGTAGACTGTATATCGTAAACTCCTTATGATTCAGAACCAAACCATCACCAAACTAACCCAGGAAATGCAGGAACTAAAAGCTTGCAATGCACAGTACCTCAGCAAGATCACTGCTCTAGAACATAAACTAGACACTGGAACAACAAAGCAACACCCACACCCAGTCCGTAGACACCATCAACACTCTAAAAGACCAAGTCACCCTACTTACTACCAACATTATAGAGGAAAGATCAAGAGTGGACCAACAACTGCCAATGTCATAACCAACTTCCAAGACCATAATGATCAACAACAGCTACCTGACGCTGTTGTCGTTAACAGCAAACACCTCCCACCCACAATCACCCAAGAAACCTGCATGGAGACCACCCTACAACTTATCAAGGACCACCTTCGCCTTAACATATGTAGTGATGACCTAAAGGATTGCAAACTGATGGGCTACCAAGCGAGTAAAAAAAAAGTGCTGTTAGAATTCCAAACTAGCCTACACAGAAACAACCTACTAAAAACATCCATTTCTATGAAAACTGATGTTTACGTCAGTGAGTGCCTTACCAAAACAAGACAAAGCCTCCTTTATCGGCTAAGAAAATTACGCTATGCCCCAAAAATCCACCAGTGCTTTGTGAGGGATGGAAAAACCGCAGTTAGGAAACAGCCCACTGGGAAGAGATACTTCATCTCTACAGAACATGACCTTAAAACATTCCTTGAGGCTGGACTAACAGAATCAGAGTAAGGTGCAGATAATACCCACAGTCCACCGTTAGTGTTATATTTTCATAAAAATTGTTCCCCCCTAAATTTCCAATACCCCAACTACTTTTGAATGTCACTGTTGTATTTAGTGACCATTCTACCTCATAGTCTTAATTGTGTTTAATATCTACAGAATCTATCTCCTTTTTTACATCTTACCACTTCACTGTTCCATCTTATTTTATTTGAAACTAACCATAGCTTGTCCTCAATTAGTCTACCTCACTTTAAGAAATACTTTATTGCCCAATTTTATTTTAAAATCTCTATTGTTGCCCAATTTTACTTCAAACTATATTGACCAATCTTATTGTAAACTTTTATTGCCCATTTTTATTTTATACTTTAGTGCCCAACCTCATTGTAAACTTTTCATCTTATTATTGCACTATTCTAATCTAAAGTTAATTACCTAATCTTTACTTGCCCAGTTTTACTTTATACTTTATTGCCCTATTCATTTTACACTTTTATTATTGCCCTTTTTTATTTGTAAAGCTTACCTGGAGTTTACCTGGAGTTTACCTGGAGAGAGTTCCGGGGGTCAACGCCCCCGCGGCCCGGTCTGTGACCAGGCCTCCTGGTGGATCAGAGCCTGATCAACCAGGCTGTTACTGTTACTTATTACCCAATTTTATTATAAACTTTTTATAATTGCCTTATTCAATTTCAAACTTTATCACCCAACTTTATTTTACTTTTCTTAACCTTTTGTAACCAATTTTTTTTTTTTTAAACTTGTATTTTCAACTACAACTTTTATATTATCCTGTCTACCATCTCACTAGCATATTATAACCAAGACATTACCATTTTTATCTTTATTATTTTTTTTATTATTCTTTTGCTACCTTAACTTGTGTATTTTATCTTGTCAATTTAAATCTGGGATACTCTAGTTCTTGTAAACAACTTGCATAAGACCTTAGTGCAATTACAATTGAGAGTCTTGTGCCATTTTTATATTATTAGATTAAACCTAGTTGTACTATAGCTCATTCTAGCTCAATACATAGACAATACCAAATTCATTATATTAGACCAGTGTTATTCACTAATTTTTGCAAGAGAACCACTTCGGTTAAACACACTGATTGAGAGAGCCGCAGCTACTGCAAGTTAGCGTAACTCAACTAAATTAAGTAGTACTGAGCTGCTAGTGCAATATAGTAAATGAGAAAAATTAGACATGGTAATATTAGCCTGCATATCTTGTTATTGGTGACTCGCGAGCCGCACAATGAATACCACTGTATTAGACCCTAGTGCAATTGCAAGTGAGGGTCTGGTGCTATTTTTAATTTGTATTTTTATATTATTAGTTTATACCTAGTTGTACTTTAGCTCATTCCAGCACAACACATAGACAACATCAACTTCATAATGTGTATTAGTGACTATACTCTATATGACCAAAATGCTTTAGCTATATACTTGTCCAAACTTCCCACCACTACAGATATCAGTACTAGAACTCAACACACAACCAAGGATATAAATAACCACAGTTTAAACCTAGAAGATGATTGATTATGTTGATCCTGATCTAAACCTCCATAATCAAACACCCAATCAAAACCTATTGGAAAGTAACTGTCTTTATTACACAGCATCACAAGCCAGCACTATCCTAAACAATGCTAAAAGTCTATCAGTTCTTAACTACAATATCAGGTCCTTAAGCAAACATTATGATGACCTCCTGGCACTCCTTGAGTTGCTAAAAACACCCTTCTCCTCCATTATTCTTACAGAGACCTGGCTTAAGCAGGACACAATAGATATCTACCCTCTACCAGGATACACAGCAATCCACAACTGCAGACCATACCAAGTTGGGGGTGGTATTGCAATCTATTACTCTAACCAATTATCTTGTATTAGTACCACTTGCTTTAGTGATGAATATGGGGAATACATTTTTGCTAATTTTACTGTAAAAAACCTTAAGATGCCAATAACAATCGGTGCCATTTACTGGATACCCCACACAAACATCCCAAATTTCGGTGAGAAATTAAAGGCACTAATAACAAACAGACAAATGAATAAGCACCACCTTCTCTTAGCTGGAGACTTCAATATCATCCTTGGCCTACTAGATGATCAGCCTGTAACTGATTTCATCAACAATATGAACAACACACTTCTCATACCAACAATAACTAAACCAACCAGGCTGACTGAGACAAGTGCAACCATAATAGACCACATATGGACCAATATACTAGCCCCCCTTAAATCAGGGATAATCACAGACAGCACTACAGACCACTACCCTACCTTCCTCTTGACAAACATTAGTAAACCACCACTGGAATACAACAAAGTTTCATTTAGACTCCATGACGAGGCCTCAATAAGGAATTTCACAGCTGACCTAGAGACCGTTGACTGGCCTACAGAATTCTCCAAGGCCAATGGTATTGATGACTGGACAGACATTTTTCTCAACAAATTACTTAGACTATACAACAAACATTGTCCTATAAAAACGAAACAGATCACAAATAAACGGCTTGGTTGCCAATGCTTAACCAGCACCATTCTGAAATCCATTGATAAGAAACACCAATTTGAAAATTTCAGCAATATAGACAGGGCTTAATACACAAAGATATTCTTAAACACTATTTATCAGTTCTCACCAAAGTAATAAAGAAAGCCAAACAACTATACTACTCCAGCAGATTCACTGATACAAGAGGAGATATAAAAAAGACCTGGAAAACACTCTCCCAGATTCTAGGGACCCACAAACTGAAAAAAAACAAGAATATTGTCCTAACTAAACCTAATGAAACATCACTGCATCCCACTGATACAGCTAACAAGATAAACGACTTCTTCTCAACCATAGGATCTAATCTCACCAATAAAATCCCACGTACCAACGCCAATGCCGGGGACTACCTAGATGGGAATTTCCCAAATTCCTTCTATCTTGTACCAACTGAGCCCACGGAAGTCACCGAGATTATAAAGTAACTTAAAAATCACTCAGGGAATCTGTCTCATGTCCCACCATTATTGTACAAGTGAGCGGCCCATGTCCTTTCGCATGCTATTTCATTACTTTTTAACAAGTCACTAGAAACTAGCACCTTCCCGAAACTACTCAAGACAGCAAGGGTTACACCAATACATAAAGGTGGTGACAGTACAGATTTAAACAACTATAGGTCAATATCAAACTTACCATTGCTATCCAAAATCTTTGAGAAACTTGTGCACAGGAGACTATATTCATTTGTAACGGCACAAAATATACTCAACCCCTGCCAATTTGGATTCAGGAAAAATAATAGCACTAATGATGCAATTATAAAAATGCTAGATCTGCTTTACACAGCATTGGAAAATAAGGAATATCCGCTAGGAATTTTTATTGACCTAAGAAAAGCTTTTGACACAGTAGACCACGGCATCCTACTCCACAAACTTGACCATTATGGTATAAGAGGCCATGCGCTTGCATATTTCAAATCCTACCTTACTAGTAGGTATCAGTATGTCACCATTAAAGACACAGCATCATCAACATGGCCACTTGATACTGGAGTTCTGTAGGGAAGTGTCCTTGGTCCCCTGCTCTTCCTCATATACATCAGTGATCTTCCAAATGTATCCCAACACCTGAGCCCCATTCTCTTTTCTGACGACACGACTTATGTCATCTCTCACCCTAATCTTGCCACCCTCAACACCATTGTTAATGAGGAGCTGCTCAAAATATCGACTTGGATGACAGCCAATAAACTTACGCTTAACACTGACAAAACCTACTATATTATGTTTGGTAGCAGAGCAGGAGTTGCGCAACTTAACATTAAGATCGACAACACTCTAATTGCCAGACATAATGAGGGCAAATTCCTAGGCCTATACCTCGACAACAACCTGAATTTCAGCACCCATATAAAACACATAACCAAAAAAGTATCCAAAATGGTTGGGATCCTCTCCAAGATACGATACTACGTGCCGCAAAATACCTTTCTCACACTATACCACTCACTTATTTATCCATACCTCACCTATGCTATTTGTGCTTGGGGATCAACTGCAGCAACTCACCTAAAGCCAATAATAGCCCAACAAAAAGCCGCAGTACGAATA